AATTTGTTCCAATACACTCCTAAGAAGATTCATAATCTGATGAAGATCTACAAGTCATCTGGTTTTTATCCAATAATTGAGTCAAAAATTTAATCTTTGGTTGAAAACATTTTAGATACTCTACTTGTTGTCATATTATATTGTTCTCGATTTTATTGTTGACGAATTTCTTCATGTTTTTTGTTTATTACGATTTGGTATGAAAGATTGTGGCATATATACAAATCTTCATTTGATACTTAAAATTTGCGAGATCAAAAGAAAAACGGTTCATTGCCTTTGAGCGTGTTGATCAAGTTTGGAAAAAACTGCATTCACATCATACCAGCCTTTTGTAGATTCTTTTGAATAATAGTGTCGATCACGCTTGATATGACAAGTTGCACCTAAATGAATAAAATGGTTGTTTCTAAAAATGCTCTGGAAAATAGCTCACTTGATTTGTGTCGGTGGCACAAGTTTCGTGCATGTAAATCGTCTTTTTGTCGGGATTGAGATTAAGCTCGGCAAATTTCAGTTTGATGAATGCAACTGCCTCATCGTAGTTCTGTCCTCCTAAAAGAGTGGGACTTCTTATCTTCCTTGTTTAGTTTGGTTATTTGGTAGCGTATAATTTCTGTGAGTTAGGTGGATTTGGTAAATTCTAGTAAGAATGCTGGGAGATCTTAGTCAGAGATTATCCTTACTTCGGGAAATTGAATGTTTACTAATATTTATGACAAGATGAAATAACTTTGCTAACATGGCGCTCCCGATGCTACGAGGTGACATGAAGAGTTCATAAATCAACTGTTTCTGGAGGGGAGGGCAGAAAGCAGTCTTCTAATCTTATCCTAGCTATCGCTTTTCTTTTCCAAGTGCAGTGTGTCAGGTGAACACTCCAACCTTGTCCCCTCTTCGATAAGTGATGTAACGGCTCTGTTTTCGCTTGTTTTTGGAATATTTCTGTGCTTTCGTGTATCTTCCATCTTCACGTACTTTTTCTTATTGTCATCTTTCGATGATAAAGTAAAAGAAGAGAAATC